AGCAGGGACAGTATTCAACTGAAGTTAATATCCTCATCTGAATCTAAACCAACTCTTCAGCAATACAGGTGTACCTGAAATGTGCTCTCCAAAGCATTGACATTCATGGAAAATGCTAAATATCAGGGCATTCCATCCCTCCATTGCCTCAAACTAGAATGAATCAACTATATAAACAGATTTGTTAGAAAAAAGCCCCACCTTATCAGCTTATCCTCTAGCATTCTTATCCAATCCTGAGGTGAAGCAAGATTCTACTTCTGTCAGCTACAATACAAGAGCTTATTAATTGGTCTAAAAAGACTTTATTAGCATCATGGAATATAAAATTGTCATGATGATTCTTCCCCAGATCAGCAGTACATACTCTCCATAGAGTCCTTCAGTACTCATTAACAGATAAAAATAATCTTAAACTTTAAGAGGGCACAGACATGCACTTACTTCTAAATCAAAACAGAGCTCATCAAAATAGCAAACAAAATCACTTATACTTACTTCTTTTTTCATCCATAATTTTAAAGCAGTAAGTAAAGCCTTCACTCCTTGCACTAAATAGCTTGGAGGCTGGAAACCATCTTCCCTCAGTTCTAAAAAGGATACGGATACCAATTTAGAAACACACTAACAGTGAAAACAATAGAATGACACCTACCCTTCAGCCAATACAGTTGTCATTATGCAACAGCATAAAAAAGGAAAAATTGTGCAAGCAAATGACATCCTGTATTTGTGTGCATACTGTAACAAAAAACCCAACCCAACCCTAAAGAGATTTCTACGTAAAATCTTCTTTTTTTGACTTATTCTTGGGTGAATTAGGGATAGTTTTACGACATACTAAACGTCAATTAGAACAAAGCAGATCTAAAATACAGAACAAGAGAAAACGTATTTGAAGAAAGAAATCACTTTTATTTCATTCAGAAATATTTTAGTCAAAGGGGACCAGAAGGATGTGGGATGTATCTCTAAATTAGAATTCCTATTGCTTATTCCCATACATACAGCAAACGGTTCACACTAGCACACTTCCACTCCCCAAACATTTTCTGTCACCCTTCCAAATATCACAGTTCTCCCTCACACAGTTTACATCATTTTTTCTCCCAAAATCAAAGGGGATGCGGGGTAGAAATCACTCTGCTACCAAAGCTGCTCTTCTTAAAAAAGCTGGTACTTTAAGTGATTGCAATTCCTTTTCAATTTTCTCTTTTCCTTCATGGGGAAAAAAAGAAGGGAAAAGACAAATCCTCCATGAAGAGTCAAAAGTAAATTGCCACCTCTCCCCATGTTCCTGACAAATATTTCCACTTGTCAATAGCAAATGGACCAACATTAGAACTATTTGTCTCGTTTTATTCCCTTAAAAGAATACACTAATAAAACACTACTCATACAGATAATGTATTACTCTGCTGGCAGAAAAAGAGAAGTTCTGTTACTACACAGCCATTCTTCCCTCCGAGATGCCTCCTACTTGTTAAAGGGTACAAGAAGGAGTGGCAGGCCTTTGAGCTGCAGCAGAAGTCTTTCTGCCCACTAGCTGACTCAGCTGATACAATTTTGAGAATACAACGCAGCACCACAGGCTGGATTTTTTAGCTGCAACAGAATAGATTGCATGACACAAGAGTAATCAAAATTAATGAGTATTGGACAGATGAACAAGTTACCTATTCTGAAGCCCCAAGAACTATGAAGAAAATAGTTTAGGTGAATGCCACAACACTTAATAGTATCATAAAACATTGGCCTTGCCAATGAAAAGACAGAACCAAAATGTTTATGACCCTGTTATCATCTTCTAAAAAGAACCAGAAAGATACATTGTGCTGATTTTGCTTACTGACTTGAATTTCACATAAAGTACTGCTAACAACCATGCACTCAACATTTACAAGTTGGTGACCACCATTACCTTTCACAACTTAAACTGGCATCATCCCTTATTTATAAAACAAAGGATTCTGACTGGTAAACACCTAATTCACATCAGTCTTGATGCCAAAGCCCAACATAATCTTCACTCTAGCCCTCTTTCCTACAAAAGCCCTCACAGACACCTTTCCCTTCACAACAATGAGCTGAAGACAACAGGTAGTTTGACTGAAAAGGTCAAAGAAAATTGTAGAAGTGCAAGAAAACCTCTTCATTCAGCTGTGAAGCCACCAAAATGTAAGTTAGTGGGATCATTTAAAGAGTCATTTGCTGAAAGAGAGAGAGAAAGGCTACTCAAATGGTACACAAAGATCTTAAATGATATGGAAGAAGCCTGAGTGATGCCACTGAAATAAGTATCCTATCTTCCTTAACAAGGTCTTTTCAGATAATGGCAAATTAATCCTATTTGATTGATAGTATAATTGCACTGTGCTAGGATCTCAGATACTCTGTTCTTGATAATCTAGAAGATTTTCATTGACCAGATACATCATCAGCATTGGATGAAAAACACTAATAAAATAGTTCAAAGGTTCCAGCAGTGTGCTGCAAAGTATTAGTTACACGCATCACCAAGTGCTCTAAGATTTCTGCACAGGGCAAGTTACCCTAGAAACCTTGGATCACCAAAGTAGTTTTCAGAAAGATCATTTAATAAACCCAAGAACTGCTAGATCTAGAACTATCACAGTGCAGCATTCACTAAAATCTGGTTAAAAAAATAATGTGACTTTTCCAAAAAAAGGAATTCATGTCTGGTTTTCCAGCTTAAAAGAATTTCCTCTGTTCACAAGACAGCAGTATAATTTTCTCCATTATCAATGAAGTAAAAAAAAAAAAAAACCACCAAAACAAAAAAAAAAAAACCAAACACCAGATACATGAATATCTCTTAAAACAAAACAAGGATTACCTTTCAATGTTTCCAGTAAGTTTTTGGCCACAAACCAACAGATGGCTTCAAAGAAAGGAAATTTGAAAAGATCTGGGGTTTTTAGCCTCTTCTCCATTTCATAACACCTGAATAAATAGAAACATCACAAAACATGACTATTTTAATTATCAAATTCACTATTCAACTATGTAATCATTCAAATTGACACAATGTCCAAAATAAAATAAAATAACCATGGCCATGATAAATAAAAGAAGTCAAGTACCACATAGTTAAATCCCAACAAGACCACAGACAAGATTGAACTCTGGTCTCATCCAGGCTCTGACCTTATCAAGATTGACTGCGGCACTTCTAAGAATAAAGTTGGACTTCATAAAACTAGGACACAAACCCAATGTGTGATCTTTTAACAGATGGAATTTTATCAGGATTCCACTGTAATAAATAAAAACAATATGTTTAGAAGACAGCTCCACATCTTGGACAAAAACTAAATACAGCTGCCCTTAGAGCAATGCTGACTTGAGGACGCTCATTTCAACTCTGTGTCGCACATCTGGGCTTGCTCAGTTTTGTTTTACTCACTTATACTAATCTCCAAAGTAGAGTTTTTCTTTCTTTTTTTTTTTCCCCTTTTATTCACTTAAATTCTTGCATACCCTTCATTTTGCTTTTGAAACAAACTTTGCAGAGTATGTGCTTGATACAGTCTAACTGAAAAAGCCACTATTGTCTGTTTGAGAGCCTGTACCGATTTGATCCTGGTTAAGAGCATGAAGAAAAATATCTATTAAAAGAATATCCTACTTACTGAGGAAAAGGTATAGGAAGAGCTGAGACTAACCTGAGCTGCATGCCAATATTGAGGTTGTGCAAAAAGTTTCCTCCAAAAGCCATACAATCCTGAGATGTGAGCACAGCGTGAATCCAGCCTGAAATGACAGATTCTGAAACTTAATACATACATATAAATTATTCTAAGGCTCTTTTTAAATACATATATAAGTAAAAATGCTGTACCTGGAAACAAAAAAAGCAAATAAATTTGTATTCTGTATTGGGAACAAGTAATCTAAATTTTAACAACATGTAAATTACAGTGTTTCAGAAATCTAGTGGAACTGTAGTTTTCTAAAGGAGTTAAGATTAAGACATTGGGGGGGGAGGGGGTGATTTTTCAAGTAAAAATCCCCAAAAGTTTTCCATCCAATCAACAAAAATAAGAAAGTCAGGAGAGGAAAAACATACTGAACAAAAGATAAAGTCATAAAAATAAAATAGAAATTATATTACTTTCAATATTTACATGTTGCTTACAGTAACTGAGCTGTTTGCACAATATAAAAAAGTCATTTAGTAATACTGAAGTTTCTCAAATAGGAATTCAGAAGTAGTTCCATTAATTATTCTAAATACAGTCATCCTAATTCCAGTGAAATTATGATCAGTTTAAAACCCAGTCTAGGCACTCTGACTGTATAAATTTGTCACATAATTGAAATATTGTCCTTGTGAACTCCACTATTCAACATGGCAAAGTATGGCCAACATTATGCTATCAATCTAGCTGATTACTACTGGATAATTTCAAATAAGTACACAAAAGAACATATGATATTAGCTTCCCGATTAAAAACAGTTACCTTTAAAATTTATACAGTGCAGCTTTAATGTAAATAAACTACAAATAGAGTTTCATATGGGTGAACTTCTGACAACAGATGAGTTGGCCACACATTTGCATATTACTTCATGGTTTGACTGAGTGTAGGCAAGATGTACACAGGAAGCTCCCCAACTTGAGGCAAGATCAGACCAATTCACAAGCACCTATATATTGCAAACTACCATTAAATCAATGCCCTAATTCAGTTAAGAACAACCAGTTCTTGTTGTTGTGGTACCGCACATAAAAAGACCTGAAACCCAGCAATGACGCTGACTAAGCAACATGCTACTATGTAGCCTCGAGAGGAAGTAAGTTACAGAAGTGTATATGAGGGAACGTAGAAAACAATGGCACCTGGAACCAGTGGGGCTTTTTATTTAATATTATACATTGTTCAGTTTTACTTTTGTTCTTTGAGAAGTGCAGTGCAATGAAGAATGCACCAGTTGCATTTTGCATTTGTTAATATTGTTTCAATTTTTCACTCTTATCATCATCATCACACTAGATGAATACCTCTGACTCTCCAAGGAACATGTGTCTTTCAATCCTTTAAACACACATCTCCCCAGACACTGACAAAACTGACAACAAAGCCTCACTGTTGCACCAACACCAAGGATTTTTATGGCTTACCTGTACCAACTAAAGGATTTTTTTTTTTTTTTTTTTGCTGTAGTTTTGGTCAAGGTCTATGTAACCAGGCAAGAAAATCTGGTGTAAACCACACAGAATATCTTGAATAATATTTAAATAACTTTCAAGAGGCTCCCAGTAGGTGCTGTTCATCTACATGCAAGATTAATTTTAAACCAGAAGTCTACTCTGAACATATTTCATAGATTATAAAATAATTATGACACCCACTAGCATCAGTGCAAGCAGGAACAGCAAAAGTGGTTTTCAGCAGAGATCAGGGTTTTTTTAAAGCCTTTGATCAGTCTTACAGAATTTCCCATTTTTTAAACACCTGTCTTGAAACCTAGTTTAATTTATTGGTTCTTACACTATACTCCATCATATGTGTATGAATATGTATGTGTGTATACACATACACACATATGCTTATACACACATTTACATTTAAAAGTACCATTTTATGTGTACACACACAAATATACATATGCATTAGAAATTATCATTTTATGATACTTCTCTTTTTGGCCACATTATAGTGAGAGCTCAGATTTAGCTTAGTTTAATTGTCTCGGTGTTTCTCGTTTCTTAAAAATGTACTGTAATTTATCAGATGCTATTTGGTGATGGCTACAAGAAATGTTGTTAAAGAAAATCAGAAAAGACCATGCCTCTGCATCATTTTTAAAAGAAGCTGCTGAAATGAATTTATGAACTCTACAGTTTCATAAACTATATCTACAAATATCCTTTTATTTTTAATAAAAGGAATTAACACATGAATTCAGTTATATATTCTTTAATTTTATTTAGGGACACTTTCAGTTTGATTCAGAGAGTCT